TAACCCCTAAATACTTTTCACTACACTGCAAAAGCTTTTCACTTAACTGTAAAAACTTAGTTGACTATGATTGGATTATATATTCTTGCCATTATTTTCTTACTGTCGTATTTTTTAATAACCACTAAATAATTTTTGGCTGAGCTAAACTATTAATACTTTAGCTAGATCCAATAATAGTAAAAAAAAATTTATATAGATTCAATAATATATAGTTTGGCAAATAATAAGAAGTAATAAGAAGTAAGACATGTGAAGTGGGAAAGTGAGATATATTCCTTCACGAGGTGGCCTCCAAGACAGCAGCGTCTAACTCCATTTTGGCCCATCTCTCTTCTTTACCAATTACACATAGACTCAGCTTCTACCAATCAAAACTCTATATCAAAAACAAATATTTATGCATATATTAACATTTTTAATCAAAAATATTATCATATATATATTATTCACACTCACATCTCTCTCACTGTGCCTATATATATATTATTCACAAACACACACACATCTCTCTCTCCTTCACCCTCTCTCTCTCTCCTGTTCTAGATCTCATCAGGTTTTTTCTGGTTATTATGTAGCTTCTATGATCTGATAACATGTTTTTTTTTATATATATACGTCATATACCTAATTTTTCATTGCAAATGAATAATAGAAATTTGTGGGTTTGTCTCATTTTACTATTTTAGCAGTATATATTACCAAGTTCAGAGAGAGTATTCAGTATTTTTATTTTCTTCTTCCACTCTTTCATCTTTATGTGTTAGGGTTTCGCTTCTTTTGCTCTACCACTTTTTTTTTTCTGGTTTGGATATTGTTAGGTTATAACTGAGATCTTATATTATATGTGTGTGTGTATATATATATATATGAAGGTACAAGTTTCTAGCTAGTAGCTATAAATTAAGAACTTCACAGTTAGATGATATATTTGTAAGTAGTGAGTTTGAGTTTGAGAGACAAAACATTGCTACATGTAAGATGGGAGACTAATTTACAAAGCCACGGTCGTTGTTTGCTGCTGTGGCATCATCAAGATTCACATCTCTGTTTGATGAACGGTGGTGATTCACTCTCCTCTCTGTGAAAATGAGAATCTTGATGATGCTGCATCGGCCATCAAGGACTATTATATTTTACTTCTCCATATGTACTTTCTATTCCATTCAAGATCTTCTTCAGGTTAGTTTTTCCTCATTTTATAACTTCTAAATACATAAAGATCTGACCAAGATCTGTTGTTGTGAGTATCTTTATTCATGTGATACCATGTTGGATTTGATTCAGGATCTCAAGTTTTTTGGCAGTCTTTTACATGTGTTGTTTCCATTTTTCAACCCCATTACATGAATGGATCCAAAAAGCTTCTCTTTCAACAAATGAACAAGAGTCACAAACATCAAAGATTAGTAAGGTAAGAGAGACAACACTATCATCAAAAGAACTAAGTAAGGTAACTCTCTACCATATCCCTTATTTTCTTTTCTTGTTTTTGGAAAAAGAAATGATATCATGGAAGTTGAGATAATGAAAGGGTCTAGCTAGATGGAACTATTGATGTCTAGCAAAGAAAGGTTTTTCAAGAAACACTGTCAGTTTCTTTTTTGCTTGTTGTTGGCTATTAGATTCAAATTGAGAATCAATTAGGAACTTGTTGGTGGACCTTTACTCATTGTAGACTAGGCATACTCAGTCCCACCTATTTGTGTCCCCCCTATTTTACATGTTTAGTTGTTCTTATAACTACAATACTACTGATGATGAACAATGAAGCAAAACTACTTATTTTTTCTTTTTCTTTATTCTCTTATGTAGACTGACAAGTCAGATTCTGAACAAAACTAATAAAAGTAATGAGTTTCATGTGTTGTTTATGAGTACCATTATAAGGCATTAATCAATCATCCCTAATATGTTGTTTCCAATCAAATTCTTCTTTTTTTGTTGACTTAACTTATGTCTTGTAATACATGTAGGTGTATATGTGTTTTAGTAATGTCTTTTGTATGCTATGACCGTGTCACTCTCCATCCACATACATTTAGTTATTCAAAGAAACGAATCATAGTCCATAAGTGGAAGTGAAATCATTCTATCTCATGCATTCTTGTAATGCACAATGGCAAGTTGGGCAACTATTTTTCATATCATGATGATATCTTTGATATGTCCGCCAATCACGTGTATCTTTGCATATATGTTCTAGTATTGGCAAATGAACTTGTAGTTTTACGAAAAGTATATCTCAAATTACTATAATATGTCTTCACTCCAACTTGCTAATTATTGGAGGACATAAGCTATATTATACACAAGGTACCATTATATATATTTTGCTAAAATTATTCTTATCCAATATTTGTGTCACCAAATGAACCTGATGATATGTTTTTAATCAGAAGTATTCTTCTATGTGTGAACCTTTTTGTATTTATCTATATAGCTATTGTCATGTTTCATCACATACATACAAAATGCAAAACAAAACAAAAACGGATTAGAATCTTTTGCGTATATCGATCTGACAAAATGAGATGGTCGTATTGTGGCTTGAGGGGGATGCATATGTGTGTGTGTGTGTGTGTGGTCCATTCAAATTGAATTCAAATGCAACGTTGAGTATGGGAGGACCATTTCATTTTAGTTTGTACTTATCATTATTCCAAAAATTTCTCAAACTTTAAGCTTGTTAATGTGTCTCTATTGCTAATTTGGCTCACTTTACTATTTTTAGATTATTAGATGATATTTTCATTCAAGTATTTTATCAATATCAAATAGTTTGCTCTACTGATATAGCAAATCAATGTCACATATTTGAAATTACTAGAATTGATGAGACAGTTTATATCTTTGATATATAATATATATTTCTCTGACTAAACTACACTTTACATTTTTGTCTTTCTCACTCAGAAATTTCTAAATATGATTTTGTGGTTGTTTCTCTTTCTATTTTTAGCTCCTATAATATTTTTTTAATATATATTTCGATTATGGTAGAAATGATTAAAGGCATAAAGTAATGTATATTTTTTTTTTAATAAGTAGACGTCACACCTATACATTTGGTGATTTGGGATATTGATATGATAGCTCAGCTCGACCCAAATTCAGGAGTATTAACTTGCGGAGAACGTCAATTACTTTATTTAAACTGTAATCCATTTTTATAAGGAAATTTGTCTTCTATGCCAGTTTTGAAACTCAATATTCTCTAAATGCCATTTTTGAAAACTCTTTTCAAATCCTGCCACAAAAAGTTTAGTATGGACGATTTTCCCCTCAGGCAAATGTTTTGAAAAAAACAAAATCAAAATAAAAAAGAAATCTTGTCCACAAGATCTGGTCCAATAGATCTGGTCCACTAGAAGATCTGATCCGACATAACTATTTCGAGTCTAGTCCACCAAAATTGGTTCGTCGAATGTTGTCCATCTATAGAGAAATGAATCTTGTCCACCATAAACGCATCACTTGTTTTATCATGTGGTCCGTCGAATCAGATCCACTTGAACTGTCAGCCGAAACAAGTCTACTGGATCTGGTCCGTCAGAATTAGTCCACTGGATCTGGTCCGCCGAATTTCATCTGCTGGATCTGGTCCGCCGGAATTCGTCTGCTAGATCTGGTCCGCCGGAATATCTTGTTATTGGAAGAAGAAAAAGAAGATGAAAAAGAAGAAACAGATAATTATTGAAAAAGAGAAAAATTAGGTTTTAGAAATTTTATTGATGAGAGGGCACCGGAAGTGGCTATGCTCCGCCGGAGTTTGTCCGCCGGATTTGTCTGCCGGATTTGTCCGCCGGAGTTCGTCCGTCGGATCTGTTCTACTAGAACTATTTGTTGTTGGAAGAAGAAAAAAAAGATGAAGAAGAGAGAGATAATGAAAGAAAATGAAAAGGGTAACATGGTCTTTTTACATTGGATCTATGGCATGTTTTGAAAGGAGTTATGAAAAATGGCATTTTAAAGAAGATCTGGTACTGTACATGGCATTCCCCACAATTTCCTCTTTTTATAAGACATTTTCATGTAATTTGTATTATATGAGATTTTTTTAATAAAAAATATTTTAGTTTTAATAGAAAGTATTTGACAAGTATCTTACAAGTAACAAACTGGATTAAACTATTTGGCAAGTAATAAGACATGTCAAGTTACCTGCAAGTAATTTGGATAAGTCCTATTAATCTTAACTTCTATGATTTCTATTTCCCAAAGAACATCTAGGATTTAATTTAATTCAACCGTGAACAGTTTCTTGAGTAAAAGAAGAAACGCTAATCTTGATTCTTCTTTCCTTAGTCCTTATTGTCTTCAGGTGATCTTTGATGAAAAATATCACTTATCTCTTTAATGTTTTTATTCAGTGGTGTTTCTCTCACAATGAGAACACAACAGTAGCGAGTCACAATTCAACACCACACACATATATATACATATATATTGCATCATTTCAAAGAGTTGCATTGGTTCATAATAATCACCTCTTTAATAATGCATAAATATGGCATATACAATAATATATATGACTTATATAATATAGTTAAGATAAGAGAGGAGGGTTATCAATACACCCAAATTCCAATTCTCTCTTCGAAACCAATTCATCACGGTGTCGTGTTTTTTTCTTTCTTTTATAAATCCACAATACCTTGTTTAATATTAGAATTCATAACATTAATATAAACTTACTTAGTAAGACACATAGACCACATATAACATAAATATTTTTACAACTACTAGCTTTGGACAAGGCACATATCAAGTCCAAAAATCAATTACTTGAACGAGGCAAGACAGATCACAAATACTTGTAAAATAGCAAGTACTGTATTTGCCTTGCGACTAGGCCGACTTCGAAGAGAATTAGCTTTGGAGAGAAGACATGTTTTTAAGAGCTCACAGAACTCGCTTCAACCTTATCCTTATGCATTGAGTTCATATATATAGGTGAAGGCAAGAAAATTCAAAATTTTCATAAGCTAAAACATCATGCATTTTCCTAAATTTTATACAAAATGTGTGTTATTGAGCTCGTTAGAAAATTTTGTCTGCACTTGTTTAAGAAATCGTGTCGTTCTCATATTGGGAAACCGAACATCGTGCCATTTGTTGGCGGCCGGTTCTAAAATTTCCAGCTCTGATGAACGGAGTGGTGTGACCGTGTGAGTGAGCCAGAGTTGCCGACGAGACGATTCGATGACTCTGCAAAGATTCCTGAAAACATTAAAGACAGCTAAACGAACTTATCCATTCTCAGTCTATAAGCTCCTTCTTGATTCTTCCTCTACAATCCAAACTCTTGATTCACCGGAAAAGCCACTCTCCGACCTCAATCTCTCCACCATCCGCCGTATTTTATCCGACCCAAATGTCAAATCCTGGAAATGCGTCTCTCTCTTCAATTTCATCCTCGAAAACCCATCTCTTTTCTCATTCCAACCTGATCTCAGAACCCACTTGTCTTTAACTTCCCGTGTTTTATCGGAGAGGAGATTCTCAGATGCGCAGAAACTGATGAAACCTGTGGCTATTGACGATATTCTCAGGTACCCTTTTAACGCAATCGTCTCTGGCTTTGTCGATGAATGTGTATGTGAGGAGAGAGTTGTTGCGAGGTTCTTTAATTCGATGCTTATGGTTTATTCAGAAAATGGAAAATTCGATGAAGTTGTTGAGGTTTTTGAGTATATGAAGAACAATGAGGTTAAGATTGATGAAAAGACTTGTACTTTACATCTCTTGAATCTCAAGAGATGTGATTTGATGGATTTAGCTAGAGATTTCTTTGGTTTAATGGTTGAATCAGGGCTAGATGTTGTAACTGTGTACTCTTTAACCGTTGTTGTTTCCGCGTTGTGTTGCAATGGAGAGATCAAGAGAGCAAGAGAATTAGTTGAGGAGATGGTGCTTGTTAAAGGGATTAAGCCTAACATTGTTACTTTTAAGTCGATGATTGATTGTTGTGTCAAAAGATGGGATTTTGAAGAGTTGGATTTGGTTCTTAAGTTAATGGAGAAGGAAAGTGTGATGCTTGATCTTGATACTTACAAGATTTTGATTGATGGGTTTACTAGTTATGGTAAGCTTGAAGAAGCTGAGAGGTTGGTTTTCAAAATGCATGATGAGAAGATAAGAGTGGAGACTTATCTGTATAATTTGATTATGAATGGGTACTTTCGATTCGGACTTGTGGAGAAAGCGTTTCAACTACACAGTGAAATGAGTTTGCGAGGTGTTGCTCCAAACAAGGATACGTATTGGGTGTTGATGAATGGACTCTGCAAAGCTGGAAAAGTGTGTGAAGCGATGAGATTGTTTCACGAGTTGCGAGTGAATGAGTTTAAGATTGATGAAGAAATGTTTATTACATTGACTGAAGGGTGTTACAGAGCAGGAATGATTGATAAATCTTTGGAAGTGGTTGCTGAGATGATTAGGGAAGGATTCATTCCGGATGGTACAGTAGTTGAAAGATTAGCTGATGCATTGTTTGAAGTAGACCGGAAAGTGGCACATATGATGGTTACATTGGTAGTTAAGAGTGGCATCAACCCAAAATCTTGTTCTGAATTTGGTCCAAAATGATTATCTGGTCATATAGAGGAACAAAAACTTATGTTGTCCGAGAGGATAGCATATACAGTGTATTTGAGTTGGAGAATGAAGTGGAATAATGAAGATGAAAGGGAACGGTGATGAACAAAAACAAGGTGGAGAAGGAATGATGAGGACGAACGATGAACGTGAGTTTGATTAGCAGGTCCAAGTTGCTGAGTCTTCCATGAAAACTGAGATAAGATCCAAGGAGATTGCTTGAAGATTGATTAGGTAGATTTTGTTCCTATTTTGGATCGAGAGAAAGCAAAGTTTGCAATGTCTTATGTCTAGAAGCTTAATGATTATGGCTATGTCGATTTTACGCTATACCAACTTGTATTTTGGAGAGTTTTGGAAAAATCTTTCATCAGTTGTATATATGTATGTTTTGATTCCCCAAATTAGCTAAAAAGATCATCCATATTGACTGTTCTGTTTTTTTAGAAGGTGGTAGTGTGTAAAAACAATGTAATTAGTGTAGAGATCTTCATGAAAATAGCTAATGTTTTCCATTGCATGAATCATTGTTACTTTTGTTAGTGTTGACGAGAGCAGAGATAAATGGGTTTGGTTCAGACGTTTTGGATCTCAAAACTGTATTTTTCTTTTAATACTATAACAACAAAAGAACACGAAATTACCAAAAAAAGCTTATGAACAAATATTTTCTTCAGTGTGAAATCATATTACTTTATGGGAAATTTCCATCAATACAACTAAGATGAGTATTTTTTTTTTTTTCAAAAATACCACTACTAGTTTTGTTTTTTGGTCAAAAAACCACTACTAATTTTATTTTCTAAAATACCACTAAAATACATTTTTTTCAAAAATACCACAAAAGTAGAACTAAAATTATGAATATTAAAAACTAAATTCTAAATCTTCAAAAGTAATAAACCTTACCCTGGAAAACTTTACCATAAATACAAAATAATCAACCAAAAAAAAAAATTACATTTTTGAAAATTAATTTTTTATGTTTATGGTAAATTTGGAAAATAAATTTTTGTTGTATATTTTAGGGAAAAAAACAAATTGTGGTGTTTTCTGAAACAAAACATAAAGTGTGGTACATTGTAGGGAATTTCTTTCATTTTATTCAAAAATTATGAGAACCTCACGAGAGTTTCTCATTTGAACAAGGTTAATACAAAATAATAAACTATTTTTTTTAGTTAACTGTGTTATTTAGAAAATATAGCTCTTTCATTGATTCATATTAGTTTGCATTATTAATTTTTGCTACTAAAATATTGATTATTAATAATTATGATTTTATTTCTTTCATATATATATCTATATATATATATATATATATATGTGTGTGTGTGTGTATAATTTAAATAAAATAAGTTATATTTAATTTTGATTTAATATTTTTTAAAGTGTTAATGAATAATTAACATAAAAACTTTAAAACTAAATAACATTAAAAAAATTCAGTATTATATTGATGAAAATACCCAATGGATATCTCACCAATAGAGATTTTTTTTTTTTTGTCGCCAATAACCAATAGAGATTATTTGGCATTGATGTATAATATATTAATATTACATTTGCACAATATATTATATCATTTATATTGCTAAGCTGCTCTTACCCCAGGGTTTATGGAATGAAAAAAATATCTATATACTGTATAGTATAGTTTTTGTTTTGGGTCCATCTTTCTTACAAAAATATTTTAATAGAAATTATACAATTTGAGATTGCAAAGTGATCATCTAATTTTCAATAATGGAAATTAGTATATTAAACAAACAATATAAACCGGAAAAAAATAATGTAAAACTTAGTAGAAAAAACTTTAAATTCCCTCAAGTAAACAAACTGCAATATGGAATTAACAAAAATTGGACAATTAACAAATACAGTAAAAAGTCTAACAGCTATAAATATATGCATGAATGAAGAACATTGCATTGTGTCTTTTTCTTGGGACAAAAGCATTGCATTGTGTCTAAAAACCCAAAAAGAAACAAAGATTGTGTCATCATGTCTCTTGCAACTACGATGATCGCTCTCTTTCTTCAAATCATTACATGTATTCTCTTTACCACCACAGCCTCTTCACCTCACGGCTTCACCATCGACTTGATCCACCATGGCTCCAATGCATCTTCTTCTCGAGTCACCTCTGATACTGAGCTTGGATCACCATACGCTAATACCGTCTTTGATAACGTCGTGTATCTAATGAAACTTCAGATTGGTACTCCTCCTTTCGAGATCGAAGCTATCTTAGACACAGGAAGCGAGCTCGTATGGACACAATGTTTGCCTTGTCCTAACTGTTACGACCAAAACGCTCCCATATTCGACCCTTCGAAATCCTCAACCTTCAAAGAGAAAAGATGCGACACCAATGACCACTCTTGTCCTTACGAGATTGTCTACAATGACAATAGCTACACCACCGGAACCTTAGCAACCGAGACAGTCACGATCCATTCCACTTCAGGGGAACCCTTTGTGATGCCTGAAACCATTATTGGTTGTAGCCGCAACAGCTCAGGGTTTAGACCGAGTTTTTCGGGTATTGTTGGTCTAAACTGGGCACCTTTATCGCTAGTTACTCAGATGGGGGCAGAGTACCCAGGTTTCATCTCTTACTGTTTCTCCGGTAAGGGAACTAGTAAGATCAACTTTGGAGGGAATGCTAATATAGCAGGAGATGGGGTTGTATCAACCACTATGTTTGTGACAACAGCAAAACCCGGTTCCTATTACCTAAACCTAGACGCGGTCAGCGTTGGGGACAACCGCATTGAGACACTTGGGACACCTTTTCATGCCTTGTTAGGGAACATATTGATAGACTCTGGAACCACTTACACTTACTTGCCTGAAAGCTACTGCAGCCTAGTAAAAGAGGCAGTGGAAAAAGTTGTGACAGCGGATCGAGTAGTTGACATTAGCGGCGACGACATGTTGTGCTACCATTCAGACACCATAGAGATATTTCCGGTGATCACAATGCATTTTTCTGGCGGTGCGGATCTTGTCTTGGATAAGTACAATATGTATGCAGAATCAGAAGGAGGAGGACTTTTTTGTTTGGCTATCAAGTGTAGTAATCCGACACAAGAAGCAGCTATCTTTGGGAATAGGGCACAACATAACTTTTTGGTTGGTTATGATTCTTCTTCACTGCTGGTTTCCTTCAAGCCCACGGATTGTTCTAAGTTGTGGAGTTGAAGAAAAAAACCAAGAATATCTCTTTTCGAATTTTTATAATATATTTTTTCACACCTTCGGCTTGTTATTTTATGTTTGTCCATTTCAATAAGAGCATAGGACATGAATATGTTTAATTGAATAATATGCGAAGTTACTTACTCGCTTCAGTTACATATTTTTCTATCTATGCATGGATGGGTTGCTTAAAGATTCTAATGTTGGTTGTATCGACAAATATTGGCTAGCCTTCTTTAATTTTCTTATACATGTTTCTAATCTTTTCAAGTTTTTGAAACTTATGTAATATAGTAGATAAGGATACACTTGCACACTAAGCTCCCTTAGAATTTTCATTTGAACAAAAGGTGAGATGTTGTTGCAACAGTTGGAACATCTTTTAACAACTTGATTATCAACTCTTGCTTTTCAAGATTTTTTCTAGTCTTAAAAGTCTTAGAGTTGGATAGAAAGTATGTCAAGATCTCATCACTTATATATCTCGAGTTGTGTCGACAAGCATCTGGCCGGGAACATAAATCGGTTAGTTCCATGCATAAAAATGGGAAATCCTCGGGTTTATAGGTATCTTTGTGCGAAGTAATGAGGGCTATATTTTAGTTTAGTGATCGTAATGAAATAAATAACTAATGTTTTAACTTAATCCTTTACCAAAAAAAAATAATAATAGTAATAAGTAATGTTTTTCATAGCATGAATTGCTATTTGAGAGGAGAGATAAATGGGTTTGGTTCTTAACACGTTCTGGATCTTGTGAATATAAATATTTCAAATGTATAATATATTCGATAACAGTTGGTTCATGTATGGCAACATGAAAATCGACAGGATTGACTATATTTTGACCAAGTCTAATAAATTTGTACAAAATGAACACATCATCTACTATATATGAAGTATATAATGAAGTTTTCACATAAGTGTAATCATTGATTGATTTTTGCAAGAGTCATGCTTAAAGAAAGTACATCTTCAAGTGAGTCAAGTCTAAGTAATATAAAATCCCAATCAAACGACCATAAACATCAAGTTCACATTCAAATTTTTTCCCACTTTCTACTCTAGATACCACAGTTCTCTTAGTTTCTTTCATTGTACGTGTGGAGGACCAACGGGTACCACGGGAATCTCTAAAGGGAATTCTTTAATGTCACCTCCAATAGGGTTCACTTCCCTGAGATGAGGAGATGCAAAACCTCCGTGGCGGATAGCCTTTGGTCGGCGACTCTCTGCTCGATTTGATCGGTGTTATATAATAAAATCAGAATCAAATGATTGACATTGTACTTTGAAATTTCTTTATTAATATTTTTAATTAAGAAAATTATGTTAACATATTTAACCCAATATAGATTGATAACATCTTTCGATTTTATCTAAAATTCTTAGCTCTTACATTTGATTTGTGATATTTTAACTATGTAATCTAAGATACCTAAATTTTTTTAATTAAGAACATTTATAGTTTTAAATTATTTTTCTTAAGATTTCGGATTTTTTTTTTAATTATATGAAATTGTCCACATAAATGTCTCTATGTTATATGAAGTCCCGCACTTCCCCCGCATGAATGTCTCTGTGATTATATTGAACAAACAAGGCCGCGCGTACTCTCTAAATTCTATGTGATTCCTACTAATTTATTTTTGTGTTACTGTTAACAAATTTACCTATCTGTACTATGATTTACCCCGAGATACACCAAGGGTCTATAATTCAATATATTTGTTTGGTTGGTCATTTTCGTAATAGGTTTATGTAGTTTAATTAGTTTTTGTACGTGTTTATTTTATTTTATTTTTATAAAATCTTATGAATTTGTATTATAAGTAGATTCATCAGAATATATATATGTGGTCAACCAACGGTACACCCGGGAAATTTTTTGTTGTAAACAAAAACATTATAAAGAAATTCTCTTAGGTACCATCATTTTAGTTTTTCTTTCAAAAACACCATAATTTGTTTTTTTCCAAAAATTATCACAAAATTTTTATGTTTTCAAAAATACCATGAACATAAACAATTGATTTTTGAAGGTGTAGAATTTTCTTTTTTTATTTTTGTGTTGACAATTTATATTTTTGTTCATGAATCCTTAAGAAGAGTTGACATTTGTTCATAAAATGCGGACAAATTTGTATATATTTATCCTTTATTATATAATTTATATTGGTGAGATGCTTTTACTCTAGGGTTTATGGAAAGGGAAAAAAAAAACATTAGACAACGCAAAGTGTTTATCGTGGGCTCATCAACACTTTCTTAAAAATTTTACATTACTCGATTGCAAAGTGATAGTCTAATTTCCATTAAAGGACAGTAAATAAAACGAACAATATAAAACCCGGAAATGTAAAACTTAACAAAATGTTAAATTTCTCCAAGTTAACCGTAATATGGAAATAACAAAATTGGAAAATTAACCATACAGTAAAAAGTCTAAGAGCTATAAATATATGCATGAATGAAGAACATTGCATTGTGTCTCTACAAACCAAAAGAAAAAAGAAAAGATTGTGTCATTCATGTCTCTTGCAACTACGATGATCGCTCTCTTTCTTCAAATCATAATAACATGTTTCATCTTTACCACCACAGCCTCATCACCTCATGGCTTCACCATCGACTTGATCCAACGTCGCTCCAATGCATCTTCTCCTCGACTCAGATCTGATACTCAGCTTGGATCACCTTACGCTAACACCGTCTTCGACAACGACGAGTATCTAATGAAACTACATATCGGTACTCCTCCTGTCGAGATCGAAGCTGTCTTAGACACAGGAAGCGAGCTCATATGGACACAGTGTTTGCCTTGTACTAACTGTTACGACCAAAACGCTCCCATATTCGACCCTTCGAAATCCTCAACATTCAAAGAAGAAATATGCAAAACCGATGACCACTCTTGTCCTTACGAGGTTACCTACTTCGACAAAACTTACACCAAGGGAACCTTAGCGACCGAGACAGTCACGATCCATTCAACTACAGGGGAACCCTTTGTGATGCCTGAAACCATTATTGGTTGTAGCCACAACAGCTCAGGATTTAACCCGAGTATTTCGGGCATTGTTGGTCTAGATTGGAGTCCTTTATCGCTACTCACTCAGATGGGAGGGGAGTATCCAGGATTCATCTCTTACTGTTTCTCCGGTAAGGGAACTAGTAAGATCAACTTTGGAGGGAATGCTAATATAGCAGGAGATGGAGTTGTATCAACAACTATGTTTATAACCACAGCAAAACCTGGTTTCTATTACCTAAACCTAGACGCGGTCAGCGTTGGGGACAACCGCATTGAGACACTTGGGACACCGTTTCATGCCTCAGAAGGTAACATGATGATAGACTCCGGAACCACTTACACGTACATGCCTGATGGTTACTGTAACCTAGTAAGAGATGCAGTGGAAAAAGTTGTGACAGCGGATAGAGTAGTTGACAAGAGCGGCAGCGACTGGTTGTGCTACCATTCGGACACTATAGAGATATTTCCGGTGATTACAATACATTTTTCTGGCGGTGCGGATCTTGTCTTGGATAAGTACAATATGTATGTGGAATCGAAAGAAGGAGGAATGTTTTGTTTCGGTATTTTATGTCATGATCCGACACAAGAAGCTATCTTTGGGAACAGGGCACAGAACAATTTTTTGGTTGGTTATGATTCTTCTTCACTGCTGGTTTCTTTCAAGCCCACGGATTGTTCTAAGTTGTGGAGTTGAAGAAACAAACCAAGAGTGTTTCTTTTTACGAACTTTTTCTAATTCTTTTTAACTTCGGCTTTGGTATTTATATTTGTCCTTTTCAATAAGCGCATAGAACATGGATATGTTTAATTGAATAATTATATGCCAAGTTACTAGTTTACGTGCATGATCAGTTACATATTTTTCTAGCTAGGCATGGATGGGTTGCTTAAAGATTTTAATGTTGTATTGGCAAACATTAGCACTTCGCTGCCTTTAACTAACATTGGAAGAATAGGAAGAGATCTATAAAACGTAAAATCAGATTGGGATGACACTCTCCAGCACCTCATCAGTCTCATGCCGAACACAATAGAATCTATCTTGATTCGTTTACACCTGTCCCAATCCTAGATTTACAACATATGGAAGGACAACAACATGTTGTCCACAAATCTCCACAAGTCCTTATGGAACCATATTGGTTCTCTTCTACAACAATGGTTCTCGCTCGCACATGCCTAATTGAGTTACATCAACTCACTTTATTGTTATGTGATAGATTGGATAGATTGGATAACCACATGCCTTACAACTCCTCTCGTCAATAATGATACAAGAGTTGTCGAGTCTTAGGTTATACCCTTCATGAATGAAATGTTGTACCAAAATGTTAAATTCCTCCCCAAGTTACCCGTACTATGGAAATAACAAAATTAAAGAACTTAACAAAATTGGACAGTTTGACCAAAAAAATATATACTCAGTTTGACCCAAAAAAAAAAAAAGGAAAGTTAATAAATACAGTAAAAAGTCTGACAACTATATAAAAATATGTGCATGTGAATAAATATTATTGCATTGTGTGGTGTGTCTATTGCAACTACGATGATAGCTCTCTTTCTTCAAATCATTACATGTTTTCTCTTTACCACCACATCCTCATCATCATCACCTCATGGCTTCACCATCGATTTGATCCCTCGTCGCTCCAATGCATCTTCTTCTCGAGTCACCTCTGAAACTGAGCTTGGATCACCTTACGCTGATACCGTCTTCGATTACACCGAGTATCTAATGAAACTACAAATCGGTACACCTCCTTTCGAGATCGAAGCTGTCTTAGACACAGGAAGCGAACTCGTATGGACACAATGCTTGCCTTGTACTCACTGTTACAGCCAAGTCCCTCCCATATTCGACCCTTCGAAATCCTCAACCTTCAAAGAGAAAAGATGCAAAACCCATGACCATTCTTGTCCTTACAAGATTTCCTACGGAGACAAAAGCTACACCAAGGGAATCTTAGCGACCGACACAGTCACGATCCATTCCACTTCAGGGAAACCCTTTGTGATGCCTGAAACCATTTTTGGTTGTAGCCACGACAGCTCATGGTTTAGACCGTTTGGTTCGGGCGTTGTTGGTCTAAACTGGGGATCTTTATCCCTCCTCACTCAGATGGGCGGGGAGTATCCAGGTTTCATCTCTTACTGCTTCTCTGGTAAAGGAACTAGTAAAATTAACTTTGGAGGCAATGCTAATGTAGCAGGACCTGGTGTTGTATCAACCACTATGTTTATGACCAAACAAAAACCTGGTTCTTATTACCTAAACCTAGATGCGGTCAGCGTTGGAGGCACCCGCGTTGAGACACTAGGGACACCGTTTCATGCCTTAGATGGTAACATAATGATAGACTCTGGAAGCACTTACACGTGCTTGCCTGATAGCTACTGCAACCTAGTAAGAGATGCAGTGGAAAAAGCTGTGAAAGCCAAGCGAGCAACTGACATTAGCGGCGACGACGAGTTGTGCTACCATTCAGACACTATAGAGATATTTCCGGTGATCACAATGCACTTTTCTGGCGGTGCAGATCTTGTTTTGGATAAGTACAATATGTATGCGAAATCAGAGAGAAGAAGAGTGGTTTGTTTGGCTATCGTATGTACTAAGAATCCGACACAAGAAGCTGTCTTTGGGAACAGAGCACAGAACAATTTCTTGGTTGGTTATGATTCTTCTTCTGAGTTGGTTTCTTTCAAGCCTACTAATTGTTCTGAGTTGTGGAGTTGAAGAAACAAACCAAGAGTGTGCATTAATATTTACAACTTCGGCTTCGTATAGTTATATTTGTCATTTCAATAAAAGCATTGAACATGTATATGTTTAATTGAATAATATGGGAAGTTACTATACTTACGTACGTGCATGATCAGTTACATATTTTTTATAAGCATGGATGGGGTTTTGCTTAAAGAATCTAATGTTGTGTTGTAATGGGTAGTAATGTTATGTTTGTAGCAAAACGTAAAATCTCATGATAAATATATTAGAGAGATAAAGTTGGATCAGACAAATTCATATCAAGAGACAAGACCAAAGACAAAGAAGTTAGAAGATAAACGAATGCTTGTGTATGTATAGTATAAATTGTATTTGTTTGTCGATTGGTTCAAGTCGGTCTGGTTGTGTTTTCGGTTCAGGATTTCCTAAATCTAATGTTGTATTGGGAAATATTAGCACTCCTTCGAATCCTTAGGAGGCTAGGAGCCACAACAAGACCTGACTAGTTTGGAACCCTTGTACTGGTCATGACCTCAGTTCTGTCTTGTTTTGAATGTTCCAAGTTTTTAGTTCTGCAATTTTCCTTGTAACAACAAATCAGAATGATCCTTGGACAAAAAAAAAAGATAATTATTTCCTCATTACTGTTAACAAACTACTCATATTCCCCCACCAAAAAAGAAAAACATTGCAGATAAATGGGGATGACAAATGTGCAAAAAGACAAATGTGCAAAAAGACAAATGTGCCATGTGATGATGATAAGGCCTTGTGTTTTTGATTACACCATGAGACCCTCTGGAGCAGCAGCAGCAGGGGCCTTGGGTTTTGGTTTGTCGACAACAATGGCCTGAGTGGTCAGTACCATTCCTGCTACGGAAGCAGCGTTCTGTAGAGCACATCTCGTCACTTTTGCGGGATCAATCACTCCAGCTTCCAACAGGTTCTCGTATGTATCGGTCATCGCGTTGTATCCAAGCTCCCATTCGCTGAACATAATCTTTTCGACAACAACTTCTCCTTCAATTCCAGCATTCTGGGCAATAAGTGCAGCTGGTGCAACCAATGCCTGAACTCAAAACATAAACCCCTATTGAGATAATAGTCACAGTTGATCACAGAACAATCATCAAATGCGCAAGAGTTGGGAATCTTACCTTTTGTACTATATCAGCTCCCAAACGTTCATCAGCATCCTCAAACGTCTCCTTAATGGCGGGAATAGCAGTGGAGAGATGCACCAAAGTAGCACCACCACCTGGAACTATGCCTTCTTCAATAGCAGCAAATGTTGCGTTCTTTGCATCCTCGATACGGAGCTTACGGTCCTCAAGCTCAGTTTCAGTTGCTGCTCCGACTTTAATGACAGCAACACCTCCAGATAGCTTAGCGATTCTCTCAGCGAGCTTCTCTGAGTCATACACAGAATCAGTCTCAAATAGTTCTTTCTTCAGCTGGGCAATCCGAGCTTGTAATTCGTCCTTGGAAGCTGCATCTGCAATGAGGGTAGTTGAATCTTTGCTAATCGTCACTTTTCTTGCAATACCCAATTGCTCTATGGTTGCATTTTCAACCAGCAAGCTCATGTCCAGTGCTAGGTACTCAGCTCCTGAGAACATACATATCGATAGAAAGTTTAGAGCACAACAAAGAGGAGATAAAAATAATAAAAGTAAACCCAAGCAAAATGTGCATTTACCTGTCAAGATTGCAATATCTTGAAGCATGGCTTTTCTTCTTTCTCCAAATCCTGGAGCTTTAACGGCAACGACATTGAGGACACCACGGAGCTTGTTCACAACAAGGGTAGCTAAGGCTTCTCCAGTGACATCCTCTGCAATAATCAACAACGGAGCTCGAAGCTGAGTGGTCTTCTCTAAAATAGGGATGATGTCTTTGATTGCAGTGATCTTCTGGTCAGTGATCAAAACCCTGGCATTCTCAAACTCAGCTAGTAGTTTCTCAGGGTTTGTAACAAACTGTGGTGAGATGTATCCTCTGTCAATCTGTGATTCAAGGTTTAAAGTCAAGTTAGCCAATGATAATTCAAATTAGAGTTGAAGAGAATCGAGACAAAAAAAAAAAAACTCATCATACCTCCATCCCTTCTTCAACTTCGACAGTGGTCTCAAATGAGGATGAAGATTCAATTGACAAAACACCATCAGGTCCAACTTTGTCAATGGCATCAGCAATCATTGACCCAATAAGGTCATCATTTCCAGCAGAGATAGAAGCAACAGCTGAAAAAATATAACATATTGATTAGTAAACGCAATCAACATTGCTGCATCACTAAGAAGGGCACTGCAAAGTTAGTACCTTTGATGTCATCACGTCCTTTCACAGGCCTGGCTTTCTTCTGAAGCTCTTCGATCAGACCTAGCACAGTCTTATCAATTCCCCTCTTAAGGGAAACAGGATTCGCACCAGAAGTAACACTCAACAATCCGTGTTTGATTATCTCCCGAGCAAGGATAGATGCAGTGGTTGTCCCATCACCAGCCGAGTCATTAGTCTTACTCGCAACCTACCACATAACAAACACCAAATTTACCACACGGTATAACTAACATTAACAGATACAATAGCAAAGCTACAGGCTCTCCAATACCAACCTCACGAATAAGCGCTGCTCCAGCATTTTCCATGGCATCAGGTAACTCAATAGCCCTTGCAATTGTGACTCCATCATTCACAACCTTCGGACTTCCAAATTCATCCAACACAACATTCCTCCCTTAAGAATAGCAAAAGAAAACACCAAAATAAGTCAATAGATAGATAACATAGATTAAGATTGTAATTCTATAAATGTAAAGGAGCCACTACCTCTAGGGCCAAGAGTGAGACCAACACAATCAGCAAGCTTGTCAATACCAGCTTGAAGAGCAGCTCTAGAGTTCTGGTCAAAAGCAATCTCCTTTACATTTGCTCTAACACTAAAACGTTTGTTTGCCCTCCTGTTGTAGCTTACTCTTTGACCTTGCTGCTGACTTCCTCCTCCCAACTTACTCTGCACACACAAAGCAGATTCATTTATAATCCATCTCAATCAACTTCATCTAATTCCAAATCAAATTTACCATTTTCTCACCAACCCAGAAACCAAAAGGTGAAAACCAATTGAAACAGAACAAAGTAAAGGTCAAATCCAATGTAAAGACACAAACTTTATTGACAAAACTCAGAAACAAAGCAGAGTAAACTAATTGAAATAGAACTAAGCAAAGGGCCAAATCCAATTATAACAACTACTGGATGATAATTCATTTTCTTCTCTAGTAAGGAAGATTAAAAAAGGAACAAACTTTGCAACCTGACGGGAAGAACAGAGGACGGAGGCTGAAGAGAGAGCATTAGCAGACGCCATTTCTTCAGAGAAAAGCTTCGAGCTTTTTTTTTTTGGTTTAGAGGAACGTTCTGGATTGGTGTGGATAAGGAAGTGTTATAGATAGTGCAAACGAATAGTGTGATGAGGGAGGGGGTTAGGGTTTAGATAAATTGAGTTGGTGGAGTAGCTGACGAATGGATCCAGAAGATTCTTTGCATTTCGTAAAGAGAGAACCGTTGATTTGGACAAAAGGCTTTTTCACCTACTTTGATTTTTTTTATTTATATGGGCCTGTTTGGTTTTACTATTTATGGCCCAAAATGAAGAACTGTTGTCAAGAAATTAGAAATCCCAATTAAGGTTTAATTGGCGAAAATGTAATCACAAATCAGTAATGTTTAAACCAATATGCATGATGCTAACAGTTTTAAGCTAAAAGACTTTTGATAAAAAAACACACTTAAAAATAAGCTAAGTCAATTCATTACCCATTTAACTCTAAGCTCATTAGGTAATGAGTTGAGCTGAGTTGGATTATTCATTTTGACATCCTTACTAAAAGTTTATATATTTTAACGTTCAAGCAATGTATATATTGGATAACAGATAGAAAATTATGGATAAAGATTGAAAACGGATAAATTAAATAGATAAAGATATATACTATCCAAAATATTTTCACAAAATAAAAAGACTCATAATTCGGATATAGTGCAAAAAATTTATGACACAAAACTTGTTATCCGATGTATTTTAAAAATGTATACTACAACGAATAAGAATTTGGATAAGAAAATGTAGACTGATAGCTAAAAATATTATACTGGGCAAAAAAATGTTATCGATACTATCCAAAATAATTTCACAAAATAACAAAACTAGTACTTTTGGTATCGGTGCAAAAAAAATTGGGAATTTGAAAATGTTTATTACATGGGAAAAGACTTTAGATAGAAAAATGAAGACAGATAGCTTAAAAAGTTAGAGATACTATCCCAAAATATTTTCACAAAATTAACAAGACTAGTAATTCGAGTATCGTTACAAAATATTCGTGACACACAACTTACTATCCAATGCATTTTAAAAAAGTTTACTATATATAATCATGTAAGGATTGGATAATTCAAAAACCTATAAGAAAGATGAAAAGTTAGAGGAAGACTAAAGAATGAAGACAGACGCATGAGTTAGACTAGTACATTAAAGATAAGCATATATCTTGAACTAAGAGAGAAAATAATGCTTGAGATTGAAACGAGGTTTGATGATACGAGAAATAGTACAATTTTGATTAATACAACAAGAACACAAACTTCTTTATTATGCTCTTTGAGAAAAAGTAGAACAAAACTTCTTTATTATGCATGCTTTTGTGATGTTGTAAACTTGTAAAATTGTGTAATATGTAAAAGAGATCAGATAATGTATTGTTTTTTTAGTTATCCCATGGATAATAATAATAGAATATGTAAAAACTTGAGAAATTTTGGAATATGAAATTGTATGTACACTCTGTCCGGTAACTCCGAATAAGTTTTTTTACGGGGGTCGTGTCTCCGAAAAGCAAAGTTTGGGGTCGGGGAAGTGATATTATTATCTGACAAAAGTTGCAGTTTCAAGTCTGATACGTCAATCACATAAATAGTTATTGTTTGGCGTTGGATTTGATTTTGATTTGAGTGAACTGACAAAAAAAAAATAAACACACTTAAAAGTTAATATCAGAAAACATGTTACGTAATAACACAAATAGTATTACAGTACAGAATAGAGAGGTTATCTAACACAAATATAACCTATGTGTAATTAAGTAATGACGTCCACATATCTTTAATGGAAACTGTGCTGTGTAAGACAGAACTCTGTACTATGTACGTAGAGAACATGAGTTAAACTAACAGTTGTCCGATGAAAAAATAGGAGACTCATGTACTTACTTATTTACACATAAATAAATTTGGAAAAATTAAATGGCGATAAAAAGAAGTAAAATACAATACACTCTTTTTCTAGTAAAAACTCTATATGATTCAAATGAAGAGAGTTCAGTGGACATAACTTGGTTTGATGTTTTTGCATGTATCTATAATTTTCTAAAATATTGTCTGGTGAAAAAGTTTTTAAAGTGATTTATCAAAAAGAGAAGTAAAAAAAAAAAAGGAAAGGTGTATGAAAATGTGATGTTCTCAAATTCTAAATAAATTATTTTAGCTTTTATATAAACTATTAAACCAACATAAAATTATATATTTTATATATATTATTATGTACATTGTTGTTCAATTCTGTATTTTATATTGCAAGTTTTAAATTTTGCAAAACTGTGTTTCATTTTGGATTATTATTGATACATGCATGCGTGATGTCATTTTAAATAATAAAATAATTCTTGAAAGAAAAAAAAATGACAAAGTAGATCTTTAAAATAAGTACATTGTACTAGATAAAAGACTGATAAAACCCACCTTAATACGTTAACCAAACAAAAATATAAAATCCATTACAGAGTTTACAGCTTTACGCAAATCATCATTATTATTTCTCGATCTCTCTCTCCCACCGTTTGTTCACATACTTTTCTAAACTCACCAGCTCCGACGAGTGCTCCGGCTACCTTTTGATCGGTATGTGCTCCCTTTAGTCTTCTGAGATCTGTCTTTGCTCTATCACTTCCTCCTTTCTATAACCAAATCTAAATCTGACTCTAATTCTCACACCTTTCTTTTTTCTTGTTCTTGAATTCTTGTTCTTGAAGTTTCCTAGGGTTTAATATTGAGTGTTTTGAATTTTTTTTAAGGTCCTTCCCTTTTTGTTGTTGTTATTGTTGTTCTTGTTCATATATAAATTAATGTATTATGTAACATGAATCTTTACGTTGGTTTGTGGATCTTTATGTTCGTATAAGAATTTTATTTTATTTTATTCGAACAGTCTAGTAATGATTTTGTTAATCACTCGTAGGTTCTATGATCATAATCATCAAACAAACCTCTTCCAATTTTATAAGATTTTAGTAATTTATAAGTTAGCTATATATATGGAACTCATGCATGTTTGTTGTTATGGCAGAGAAGTTTTAAAGAGATGGATATGATAAAACCAGACTTGCATGTAGCACAACAAATCCGGAGAGATAAGTTTAGAGTTGAGCAGATGAATGATTTTTCCAACACTTGGGGTCATGACCATCAGAACATCAGAATTCCCAACAACCTTGATTTGATTGGTATCTTGCAGAACCAGATCCCTGTACCGGTTCAAACCGATCTCTATCAAGATTCTACCACAACCTTCATGAACATGCCTCAGTCGATACATAGAGGTCACCCACAAGGCTCTAGTAACTGGAGAAGCTGTGATTTGTCACAACCGAGATCTGAGGTTGGAGATTTCTTTTCAAATCATTTCAGTTCTCGAAACCAAATATTAGACCGTCCTCTTTATGTTGGCCGAGACACTATTGCTCAGTCTAGCATGACATCAAGAAGTGAAGTTCCTTGTCTCAAGGATAATCAAAAGGGTTCTGTAACCTTTCTTGGCCAAAACAATCTCGAGAATATAGTCACGGTGGCTTGTTCTGGTACTGGTAATGAGACTTCAAAGAGCACTTATGACCGAGGTACTCTATCTGGAAGCTACCGAGGAGAACTTATGTTTCTCCCAGGTTTGGAGAATCATTCAGTTGCGCATAATGCAAGCCAATGGAACCATAGGTCGAGTTGTAAAGAGCCAATGAATTTTTCTGCCACTTCTCATACTAACAAGAAAGGCTTTTCACTCTCACTTTCGTCTGAAGTAACTCCTTTTAGAGATAGTGGAGATGTGGCTGTTTTGTCTATGATGAATATGAACGGTCCGCTCGGTCCTTTCACGGGATATGCATCTATTCTAAAGAGCTCGAGGTTCTTGGAGCCTGCTCAGAATATGTTAGAAGATTTCTGTATCTCTAATGCTTTGAGGACTATTAGTGGAAGCGAATCTACTTCCATGGATAATGACGACTCGTCGGAAATTTTATCTTCGACAAATCACGCTGTTGACGGTTTTAGTAGTAGTTCGTCTGAGGCATTAGAGCCCAAGAATAGACTAAAGAGAGCAAAGCTTCTCGTTCTACAAGAAGAGGTTTGTGAATTGTTAGACTTAACAGTTATGCTTATAATACATATATAGAGATTTGTTACTAAACTATGTTTAAACTTTTGACATTGAAAAGGTTTGCAAGATGTACAAATTATACAACCATCAGTTGCAAACAGTTGTGTCTTCCTTCGACTCAGTCGCTGGCCTAAACACTGCAGCACCGTATATCTCTTTGGCTCTCAAACAGATTTCAAGAAGTTTCAAGGCCCTTAGAACCGCAATCTCGGAACAGCTGAAGCAAATCTCAAGTACTCAAGACTCCTCAAGCGGTGACAACAACATATTCCAGAAGCAACAAAGATCTTTGATTGGTAACAATGTCGATTTCGAATCTCAACAACAACAACAACATATTTGGAGGCCTCAAAGGGGATTGCCCGAACGCGCAGTCGCTGCTCTCCGAGCATGGCTCTTTGACCACTTTCTTCATCCGTTAAGTGTCACAATGTTTTTTGATGTAATTTTTTGGTTTTATTTGATGTGATGTTTTGATATGATTTCTCACATCCTTTATTGTTAATAATGTTATTAGGTACCCCACTGATTCTGATAAGCAGATGCTAGCCACTCAAACCAGTCTCTCTCGTAACCAGGTATGCTCAAAGTCAATTATGTAATTCTTTGTTCGGTGAACTTTTAAAATTCTCTTGAATTATTGCTCTTGGCCGGTCCTATTTTCAACTATTGGGTTAAAGGCATGAACATGATGATGGGACAATAACCTAAAGTTTTTAGTATTTCTTACTCTCAATAACATTGATCTTATCTTACATGTATATATGTAGATGTAACGCATAAATAGACCTAGTCTAGATTGAGAGAGGATTAGTGGCCTTAGGTCATTTGTAGAGAAAATTTACTACTTCATGTAAACATTTAAACACTGGCTTTAGGTCACGTCTGTTACAAGTTAACGTCATTATCTACTAAAGAGAACTCTTAGTAAACTTCACCTCATTTTAGGTTTTTTGTCTTTTGACATGAATTGTTGACTTGGTTGGCTGTGTGTTGTTGTTATATTTTTGTTTATAAGGTATCAAATTGGTTCATAAATGCACGCGTGCGATTATGGAAACCGATGGTGGAGGAAATACACATGCTTGAGACCAAAGTCATAAAAAGTAAGGATTCTATTTACAACATGGAGCAATCATCAATCAGGCCAAATATTCTTAGCAGTCTTCCAAACCGTAAACAAACGTTAAAGGACCTATCCGGGTCAAAACGGCCAAGGGTAGACTATGTTTGTGACAGTGGCATGAACATGATGGGGTTCAATAGAGGGCTAGGGAACGTGTCACTCACGTTAGGGCTTATGCATGGTGTGGATAATGTAATCCAAACGCGGACGTCGCAGGATCATGATCATCAGATTGGAACTGGAGGTCAGATGTTTCATGACTTTTGAGGGTTGAAACATGTTTGTGTTTTTTGTTTCACTTATGTGTTTGGGTCCAAAGTTAAAGACATGTAGACAAAACATGTTTGGGGCGGCGATGTAGTAGTTTGATCACCTTTTAGTTTTAATAAGATCTTCTTTTAGTTACCTCCTTTATGATTATATCAAATTTCAGTGATTGTTGATAAAAACAAATCATCAAATCATACAAAAATCATAATTTGATGAAAACAAAAATGACATATATAGTTTAGGCTATATAATACAGCTTGAATAAATTTTCCAGTGTGGCGTTTATGATTATAGGAAGAAAAATCCGATTGTGTATTTTGCGACGGTTAGATTACGATTATTGGTGGTATCTTAGCCAGGCTAAAAGAAAATGATTTCACATATTTTAGCCTAAGATTTGACTAAAATATTACCAGTAATATTGCTCTTAAATTGAATTCCCAATTTTTGAAAAAATACTATGGACTCGTATGCTTTTCAGCGTGCACCCAGGTTGGTTTCACACGTTCATTGTAAGAAAGAGTTTTATAAGGTTTCACACGTTCATTGTAAAAAAGAGTTTTATAAGGTTCACACGTCCATATTAGGACAGATGATGAACTACTATTACTTTTGTCTAAAAAAATAGCAGAAACTAAAAGAAAACGACTGCAACATATTTTGACTATTGACAAAATTGGAGGAGGAGGTGGAGGAGGCAAGTATTTAGGATTATCGGAGCAATTTGGCCCCAAAAAAAAGTTTCGACTATGTATTATCAAAAGATTGGGGAAAGAACATAAAAGGTTAGTATAATAGGTTTTAAATCAAGTGTATCGCAATGGCTCTTTCTGTTTACTCTGTCGCTGCGACTATTTTCTCGAAAAATTGTTGCTATTCTCATTCTCCGCATATTTACATGTTAGATTAACTATATATTTTGATCACTAACCGAGAAGAAAATACATATATACCCGTTATCATAAAAAAAAAACATTGTCGAATCACCAAAGATCTACATTGCATGACGAGTTCTACTAACATAATCTACCTCAAAAATCAATGAAAAAATCAGAAACCAAAGTTTATTTAAAAAAAGAAAAAACAATTTGCCACATATGGTACAGTCTTATGTTTTTAGTTTTTTTCTTTTCTTTTCTTTTCTTCAAAGCTCTGCATCCTATAGTTGAAAAAAATAAAAGACAAAACACAAAAAGCATCTTAAGTTTTTAGGACAAGACATTATTCATCAATCCTTTCTCTTCTCCTACCCCAACAAAACCAGAGACGTTTTACTTATCCATGGCAAGGATAAAAAGAAAGGGGTGCAATCTACAAAAATATACTTTCTATAGGATCGAATCATAAATATAACAAAAAAAACTAAATGATACATCTCGTAAATAACTAAAACCTTGTGATCATCCCACTTATATAAAATCAGATTTTCAAAATTCGAAAATAAAATAAAAATAAAAATAAGTAAATTGTTCGAGTGTGTCTCTCTTATTTCTTTTTTTTTTTTTTTCCAGAAAATCAAAAACAGCTTCTTCTCAACTTCTCTCTCTCTTCTCTGGTGATAATAACCCTAATCTCTTCTTCTTCTTCATTGTGTAGGATAAGCGAAACCCTAGAGATTCGAATCTGTAATCGCTGTTTCTTGTTTTTTTTCTAAGCGTACTATTGTATATGATGAATCAATCGCTACATCGATGCGGTTTCTAGGGCTTTCTTGAGGGAGGATTCGACATTGATAGGAACTTGAAAAGGCGATTTTGGGTATTTTGAATCTTTGCTTTAAGAGAATCGATGGCGAAAGGTACAGCCACTGGCGAATTCGTGGTTCGTACAGGGTGTAAAAGGGAGTTACAGTTTGTTTTGAAATCTCAGTCTGAGATCTGTGGAGGTGAGTCACTAGGTAGGACTAGGGGGAGTAGGAACTTGAATGTCGCATCTAGAAGTGTTGAGGTTAAGAAATCGAGTCGTGGTGGGTCTGGTTTGAAGAGTGGGGTTAAGAAGATTCGTCTTTGTAAAGATGAGGAAGATGTAATGTCTGATACTGTTGGTTTGGAAGAAGATGAAGGTAAGAGTGACGTTGTTGATGTTGATGAGGCGAAAGGGTTGTGTAGTGAATCTATGAGTGAAGGTAAGGGAGTAGAAGAGAATGGGGATGATAAGGTGGTGATGAATGCGGATCAGTTGATGGAGCAAACTGAGAAGGGTTCACTGAAAGTTATAGAGGCTGAGAAGGAGAGTTTGGGTGTGATTGGGGGAGGTACTGTTATTGATAGAGAATTAGTTGTGGCATGTCCTGCGGATTTTAGTGAGTTAGAGAAAATGGCTTCTAGATCTTGTCAAGTTAAGTTGGAAAGAGTGTATGCTAAACCGTGCAAAAGGTTGACCCGGTCCATGTTGAAGGCTGAGGGTAATAAACCTCAAGCTAATGCTGATGACGATCATGTAAATTCAGAAAAGGATGCTATAGATGGCGGAGATAATTGTGTTGATGTTTCTACGTCAGTGGCATATGTGAAGGAGGAGCTTTGTGAGCAAAATAAGAAGGAGATATGCCTCGGGCTTCCAAGTAGATCATTCCAGATGAGTGGTCCTCCTCAACTTTTTGTTAAGAAAGCAGTGAATGATACAGTAGGTAATCCTTTGAGGAGGTTTACGAGGTCATTAATCAAACAAGAAAGTGATGACAATCCTAATTTGGGGAATAATACTAAACCAGCAGACTTGGTCGAGGTTGATGTGAATGCCAATGATGTTGAAATAGATGATTTAAGTCCTGAGGTTACAACTCACAACAAGCGTGGAAGGCCCAAGAAATTTCTAAGGAATTTTCCAACAAAGCTGAAAGAAATTTTTGATTGTGGAATACTTGAGGGACTAACTGTGTACTATGTTCGAGCAGCAAAGGTATATGATGGCTTTTTTTTGCTTCTATTCATGTAAAAAACAGATTTTATATAGCTAATGTGTATGTCACCTTCTTATCATAGATGAGAGAGGCAGGGGCTAGAGGGCTTAAAGGAGTAATGCAAGGATCAGGCGTTTTGTGCTTTTGTAGTTCGTGTAAAGGAATTCAAGTTAGTAATATCTACTGTTCTTAAATATCTAATCGCTGGTCCTATCAAATGCAAGCAGATTGATCTAACTTTTTAATTTTCACTTCACAGGTTGTGAGCCCTGCCATGTTCGAGGTGCATGCTTCTAGCACAAACAAGCGCCCACCTGAATATATCTTACTGGAGTCTGGATTCACACTTCGTGATGTCATGAATGCATGCAAGGAAAATCCCTTGGCTACACTAGAAGAAAAACTTCTTGTGGTAGTTGGACCATCTTTAAAGAAATCTAGCCTGTGTTTGAATTGCCAAGGTAACTGATTGGTTCATTGGTTTGTGCAACATATTACAGACTGCTTTCAATTGTTTTTTTTCTCTTTAGAAAGAATCCAGACTGGTTACACTCAATTGATTGCAGGTCCGATGGTTGAGCCTTGTGACACAAATTCATTAGTTTTGTGCAAATCGTGTTTGGAGGGTAAAGAGCTAGAACTCCATAGCAGTCCTTCTAAAGCAATTGATGTTCTTAACGGGTACGGTTCATCTGTCTTTATTTATCGCAGCAACCTTTTTCTCTTTGAAGTTGAATCATGTGAAAATAATATGAGCATACAGTTATCCAGTTCAGTTAGATTTTCCGACTGGGTGGAAAGTAATGTAAAAGCCGGAATAATGATTTTCTAAATAAGTAATGTGGATTTTGAGCTGTACATTCTCTATTATATGGTTGCTTATGTAGATCGTAGAATTCTGTCACTACTAACATGCATAACTATATTTTTGGATATATCTGTTACACCACTAAATATATTAACCTTTGATGTAGTTGATTGATTATAATTCTGTTCCCTATATTCAACAGTTCGTCTAGGCCATGTGTGACTCCAAAAACTATCCCTGGTGGGTCAACATCCAGTCCTCGCCAAAGTAACAGGCGAGAACAACCAACCAGAAAGTGAGTATTGTTGTTATATTGATGGTGCCAACTGTTTTATGGTTGTGCTTTCTAATTGTACTTTGTAGCGTTTTGAGTTTTTGCTGCCTTTGATATTAAAATTTGCTCACAATCTGTCATTTTATCATTCTGGAAAATGATAAATTAGAATGTAATACTGGAACTGTGCCATATACTCTTTACTTATACATTGGGGTTATTGGCTAAGCTAATTTTATCTTGGGGTTCTACAGGTCACCTGAGCCAAGTGTGGTTCCAGGAACTATGATTCTGAGCGAGTCAAAATCTAGTTCAATAAAAAGTAACAGCCAAGGAAGAATAACCAGAAAGTAAGTATTGTTGTTATTAGTGTGACAGTACATATCCAATGCATCAATACTTATACTAGATCTCAGTCTATCTTTTGTCATTTTGAAAGGGATGTGCGGCTGCACAAACTTGTTTTTGAGGACGATATACTGCCAGATGGGACTGAAGTGGGTTATTTTGTTGCTGGAAAGGTTAGATCTGCATGGAAATTGGCTTTTTTCCATCCCCTTTTTGTAATATTTTCTCCTCCAACCATTTTGTTCGTTGTGCAGAAATTGCTTGTCGGCTATAAGAAGGGATTTGGGATACATTGTTCTTGTTGCAACAAAGTGGTAAGTTCTCTTTAACGTCAAATTAGCTTTCCTGGCATTAATATATATAGGGCTTTGAATCAGCTTTATAATGTTTATGGGTCCAGGTCAGTCCTTCATTGTTTGAGGCCCATGCTGGCTGTGCAAGTCGTCGGAAGCCGTAAGTTCCTCTACAGCTCTAGTAGTAATGGGTCTGTACCTGTTCTACTACGTTGTTTTAATCTCTGATTCTGATAAAATTAAGTAACTTAATACAATAATTTCCTGATAACAAAAGATCAAGGTTTATAATAAGGCTTCACATTCTCCTTGGAAATCTGTCAGGTTTAATTCGATAACCAGAACCATTCTTCTTCGCTCTGCCATGTATTGTATAGACCAAGAGCATAAACACCTTTACCCCATGGTTACAAAAAAGTATACATATAAAACTTGGATAATTAGTGTCTAAGTTGGGGATCCTTGAGAACATAGATTGTGTGATTCACATAGAAACTGTTTTTTCAACTAGTTCATCTTCTGTTGATGATTAGGTTTCAGCACATTTATACGACCAATGGGGTTTCTCTTCATGAACTATCAGTAGCCTTATCAATGGACAAGAGGTTTTCCATCCATGAAAATGATGACCTTTGCAGTATCTGTAGAGATGGGGGTGACCTCCTGTGTTGTGATACCTGTCCAAGATCATATCATAAAGGTTTGGTATTTGCGATTTTTCTATGTTTCTTTGTTGAAATTCTTCTATCGCTGCTTTTAAAATGTTTTTGGAGCGTTTTTCTAATCTGTTTGTTTTGGGTTTATCTAGTATGTGCTTCTCTTTCAAGCCTTCCGAGTGAGAGGTGGTCCTGCAAATATTGTGTGAATATGGTTGAGAGAGAGAAATTTGTGGATAGCAATCTCAATGCCATTGCAGCTGGGAGAGTTCAGGGAGTTGATGCAATTGCTGAGATAACCAAAAGATGCATACGAATAGTCAGCTCCTTTGAGAGCGAGCTCCCAAGTGTATGCGTGTTATGCAGGTGAATGTCAAGCTTTTCTCTAATTTCAAGTATCTTGGTGGTTTCCTTTTAGTGTCCCATTAGTGTTACCTAATTTCCTGTAACAACCTTGTAAAAAAATTGTAAGTTGTAGCTTAATGAGGTCTTATTTGTCTAATATTTTTATCTTATCTCCTTTTCTTCATGTTTCCAATTCATATGGCTTGTAGTTTTGTATTTCTAATTAAATGTGTTCATTGGCTGCTTTTAAAACCATTTCCTTCTGAGCTTGACCTTATTTAATTTTCTTTGCTGTTGCAGAGGTCATAGTTTTTGCAGGTTGGGCTTTAATTCTCGCACTGTGATTATCTGTGATCAGGTATCTTGTTGGTCATTGCTGTTTAGGGACCCGTGCCTCTTAAATATGCAACTGGTTTTCACCATTTTAATCTTTTTTTTTTTCTTTTCAGTGTGAAAGGGAATTCCATGTTGGCTGTTTGAAAGAACGTAACATTGCTGATCTCGAGGTGCTCTACCTCTTTTGCTCTTTCTTTCTCTCAGGTGAAAACTCAATATCTATCTCTCACATTCTTGTTTATGTCTTAATAGGAGCTCCCTGAAGGAAAATGGTTCTGTTCCCTTGGGTGCGAAACGATCAACACTACATTGGGCAATCTGATAGTTTGCGGAGAAGAGAAGCTTAGTAACAACATTCTGAATCTAATAAGGAAAAAGGAAAAACGTAATGAAGGAGTAAGTTCAGATGACAACAGCACTCCAGACATAAGATGGAGGGTCCTTAGTGGGAAATTGGCCTCTTCGGATGATACAAAAATATTGCTTGCAAAGGCAGTTTCCATTCTTCATGTAAGTCAAGACCACATTTCAAACTCTTCTGTCCTCTTGCTCTTGGTCTCTTGTGTTCTATATGAAGGTTTTACTTTGTTTCTCCCTTGTAACCATGTTATGCTATAGGAGCGGTTTGATCCTATCAGTGAATCTGGAACCAGAGGAGATCTCATACCAGCCATGGTGTATGGGTAAGCAAAGTTTTTTATCTTCAATCATGAGTGGATTATTCTTTGTGCTTGTGAAACCTAGCTGATGAGCTACTTTGTGTGTGGAACAGAAGGCAATCAAAGGGCCAAGATTTTAGTGGCATGTACTGCACCATGTTGGCGGTGGAGTATGATTCTTCTTCTTTCCACTCTAATTTATTTTGTGTGATGCTTGTTTCATCTTTTTAATGTTGTCTTTTTTGTTTGTTTGTGCAGTGAAGTGATTGTTTCAGTGGGAATCTTTAGAGTTTTTGGGTCAGAATTTGCTGAACTTCCTCTAGTTGCTACCAGCAAAGATTGTCAAGGGCAGGTAATTACTTTTGATCTGGAACTTTGCATGAGTCGTTATTATTTACTACAGGTGCCTGTCCCTGTATGATGGTCGAGAACCAGCTTTTTCTCGTTGTCAGTCCCATACAGTGCATATTTTGCTGTCTGTTTATGTTTTGAATGGCTTAAGAGCACAACAATGTGTAACATATTAACCGCAGAAGATATTCTTTTGCCATATTTTACTTTACCAGCTATCCAACGCATTATAATCTGAATTGTATGACAACAAAATCCTTGTGATTCCTCGTTTTCGAGAGTTTGAGAATTTATGTTCTTTCTCTTTTTGCTGAAGGGTTACTTCCAGTGCCTGTTTGCTTGCATCGAGAGGCTACTCGGGTTCCTAAATGTGAAATATATCGTGCTACCAGCAGCAGATGAAGCCAAATCCATATGGACTGACAAATTTGGTTTCACCAAGATGACCGAAGAGGAGGTATTCATCGATAAACCTTTGTCACTTAAATAAAAAACCCATGATTCCCATCGCTGATACACACAATGTTTGTGGGGGTGTTATTATTAGGTGAAAGAATGCAGAAAAGACTACTCGGTGATGATCTTTCACGGAACATCTATGTTGAGAAAGAGTGTGCCTGCACCAACAACCGCGAGTAGTAAACCCGAAGACAATATGGAGGAGTAAGCCGAAGGCTGTCTTTGTTTTTTGGTTCCGGAAGTCGGTGAAACGATTGGGTATTTATTCGTTTCAAGTATTGTCTTTAATCTAATTTTCGGGTAGTAGTAGCCTTATCGTGTACAGGTTTTTTCCCTTATTGTGTCTTCTTTACAATTTGAAAGATGCACACAACAAGGGTAAGAGAATTTGGTTTTGGTAGGGGGAAGTAGAGAGAAAGGGCAAGTAAATGAGTCTTAAACACTCTGGGCAATTCTTTTTGGTTTTCGGGGTTTAGTATTCTGATTATATATTATGAAAAGCTAATTTTTTTGTATCTATTGCCCTAAATGAAAGAAAAAAAAATGATATTTATTTTGCTATATCAAAAAGAAAAATCGTAAATTTACTTACATTTACGTTTTCGAAACTGTATAACAATTTGGTTGGGCTTTATATTTAAGCCCAATTCAGACAATCATACTTCCGAATTGATTCGTGTAAACCGGTTCGGTTAACGTAGAACCGTAATAAAAAATTAGGGCAACACTGAGCGGGAAGGAGCGCGTCTAAAGAATTTGAAACTCAAAAAAGAGGCAAAACAACCGTTAGAGAAACGCCCCTTGATATCCTTATTAATTACAACTTTACCACAATCCCCCTTTTTAATTGCCCCCTTTTTCACTTTCCCTCTTCTCCTTCCTCAGAAAATTCATTTTTTTTCATATCCCGATCGCTCTGCTTCTTCTTCTTCTCAAGGTTTGCGTTTTCTTCCCGATCTTAGATTTGTGATTATTTTTTGTTCTTCGTTGTTTAGGGTTTAGTTTACTGACGGATTGATTTCACTTTTTTTGGAAGTTCGACAAACGATTTCTGGGTAATTTAAGAGAAGATGGGTCAGATCCAGTACTCAGACAAATACTTCGATGATACTTTTGAATACAGGTGATTTTTTGAAATTTTGATTCATCAAACCAATTTTAATGGAGTTTTCTCTAATTTAGTGTTAGTCTTAATCGCGTTTGTTTCTCTCCTTTTCAATGTTCTGTACAGGCACGTCGTTCTTCCTCCGGAAGTGGCTAAGCTTTTGCCTAAGAATCGAATTCTCTCGGAAGTAAGTTAAATTTAGGGTTTTGCTTGCTCTATTTGTACTTGTGATTGTGATCTGATAGTACTTGGAGCACATCGAAGTGTTCTATTTCTCATTTAAGAACGATTCAGCTTAGTAAAATTGAAGTTTGGGTATTCGAAGAGATTGTCTCTCCTTAGGTTTTGAAGTTTTCTCTGACGGTATTACAAGTTTGTTCCTTGACTCATCATTGTTTTCATCTGGAAACATCCAGAGATTTGAAGTTTGCTCCATTCGAATGGTTCTATTTCTCGTTTACATGTTAAAGAATAAGTTAGTTTAGATAAATTGAAGTTTGGGAATTAAGAGACTGTTTCTGCTTAGGATTTTGAAGTTTGCTCTTTTGACTCAACATAGTTTCTTCTGGAAAAATCAGACTTTTGGGTTCACACATAACTCTATTTTGGTTAAGTTTTAGGCTCTAATGTGGTGTTTCTTAGGATTCTGTATCAGTTTGCTTACAGGATTGCTTAACTGAGATCATTAAGTTTATAGTTTATACATTTTTTTTTTTATCTGTAATAGGCATTTTCTTAATCCCTGATTTTGGAGTTAACAAGCTGTCTTGTGTTACATTCTTGTTGTGTAGAGTGAATGGAGAGCGATAGGAGTGCAGCAAAGCCGAGGATGGGTTCATTACGCGATTCATCGCCCTGAGCCACACATCATGCTCTTCAGGAGGCCTCTTAACTATCAGCAGGAGCAAAACGTGATTGCTAAGTAGAATTATGAATGCAAAATCCTCTCCTCCCTAAAATCGGTTTATGTCTCTCATAAACAAGGTTTTAAAAAACACTTCTCTGATACATTCTCCTTAGTGTTTTTTTTTCTTTATTGTGTTTATTAATTCTCTGCAGTGGAGATTATGTTATGTGAGTTGGTGGTAGAACAACTCTTTATGTTATGTAAAAGTCTGGTTCTTTGCTAGACTTTTTGTTTGGATCCACGTTTGAACTTATGCATTGTTAAGCCGTTTAATTCTCCTGCTTCTACTCTCGTTTCACCTTTTCAACTCTTTTGAATGTCTCTGTTTAGTCGAACATTATAATCCTATGAGTAAACCAATCAAATGGAAAATACAAATTATACATTTAAGTTGATGACACTATGTGGCTAAGTGATGTGAAATTTAGTTTCGTATGGTTTGAGACTACTTTAAGTATACGCTGCATTTTTGACCAAACTAAAACTAAACCGGCCGGTTTGCTAGAATTTAATTAAAATCAAAACCGAATCACCCAATATCCAATCCAATATGACTCAACTTTACCGGTTTAATTCAAACCATCGCCGTCACCGGAAATAATTTCAAACTCCCAAAAAAAAAAGTAGAAATATTATTTACACACCCCTCAATTTACTCATAATTACATCTCTTACCCAACCACTTTATTCCCTTTCACTATCCTCCCACATTTCAAACGATCAGATTTGCAGATTCTTCATTTCCTCTTTACCTTCTCCATTCACTGATTAGGGTTTTACATTTCGGCGAGAGAGAGAGAGGGTGAGAGAGAGATGGGTCAGATCCAATACTCTGAGAAATACTTCGATGACACTTTCGAGTACAGGTAAAAGCTCTTCAATTTTGCTTCTTCTTGTTCTTCCTTAAATTTTTAATCTCAACTCTCTACAATTTCCTAATCCTGTGATCGACCGATACTTACAGGCACGTCGTTCTTACTCCTGAAGTCGCTAAGCTTCTTCCGAAGAATCGTCTTCTCTCCGAAGTAAGTATTTTCCCTGCATTGTTCTGTGAGTTTCTGATTCTAATCGTTGGAATTGGATCATCGAAGATTCTGAAAATTTTGTTGAAATTGACGAAATTAAGATTGGATTAGATAATTTTCGGTTAAGGATTTGAATCATTCCTCTGTATCCAGATTGAATCTGTTTACAATTACAATAAGATTTGTTCTTTGAAGGTTTCTGTGTTATGTTGTGGTTCTCTATAAGATGATCAATGGAGATTTGTAAATGGAGTTTTAAGTCTTTGAGATTTTGTTAAGGTTTATATAGTTGTTAGTGATGAGATGATATTGTAGACATTGTTCTGTGCTATATCGTGTTGAAGTTGTGATGGTAAAATGTTGGGATATTTTTGTAGAACGAATGGCGTGCGATAGGAGTGCAGCAAAGCCGTGGATGGGTGCATTACGCGATTCATAGGCCTGAGCCGCATATAATGCTTTTCAGGAGGCCACTTAACTACCAGCAACAACAGGAGAATCAAGCTCAAAACATGCTCGTTAAGTGATGAATCGTCGTCACTTGCTTTGTTTTAAAGTAAGAATTCTACAGATATCGGTTTGTGTTTCTACTTCTTGTAAACATGGTTTGAACCTATTTGTGATCTTGGATTGTCTAATGATGGAGAAATATGTGAATTTGGTGGAACAAGTTGAGTATGTTATCTAAGTCTGGTTCTATAATCACCTTCTGCTTCTGCTCTTTGTTTCATCCTTAGTAATCATTTAAGCTAATTTCGAACTATGAGCCATGGAGATCCTTTCATCCCCAACGTTTTCATAATCGTAATTCGCTTTTTCGCTTTCTTACAAAATCATCGCGACGACAACACAAGAAACCAAATCGTATTATTGTTCTTACTTGAACACTTTGCTTTTAAACATGTTCTGCATCGTCGTTCTTTACCTGTTGGTCTAATACATTTGATCAATCAGTAAGTTCCTTTGTCATTGTTGTTGATTGAAACGTTCAGTGTTGAATAAGGATTAAACAGTAAGATGCAAGATCATGTGATCGCTAAGTTATTAGATCTTGCTGAGTAAAATTCGTTTACTCAATGCCTTATTTTACATATTTTAGATTCGTTTTCAAACAATCTTTAATACCAACAAAAAATCACTAGAACTTATTGTAAGCAAGAACATATATAAATTAAAGTTACGGTTTCTTGCAATTGAAATAGCAAGTGCATTTCTCAGGGAAAAGACAAAGACCAAAGCCGTCTTTGTACTTCACTGAACAAAATTTAGTACATTTTGCAATGTCACATTTCCCTTTTGTAACTGGAAATGGTCTGATAACGCAGTCTGATAATGCTGGCACTTGCACTGTAATATTCAAAAACCATAAATTAAACCAATGATTTTAAATATCACATTATCATAACTATATATAGATTATAGATTATCATAACTAAACAATCAAAGTGATGTATTATGTGAAAAAATACAAACCTAACATAAGAATGATGACGAAAGTTACAATGGTGAACGAGAGTTGATTGGAGCTTTTCATCGTAAATGATAGAAATTGATAGATAGTTTTTAAAAGCAGAAAAAGAAATTATAAAGTGTACTTCTTAACATATGTATTAGAAGTTAAGTTAGATTTATATATATATATATATATACTTCAGAGTAAGAGCTATAACTAATTTAAACTATATACCTCCTTGTATTTCGATTTTAAGAACTGGTTTTTACAAAAGACTTTGAAATTTTCTTCATTCTATATTTGGTAACTTAAAACTCGTTCTAGCTTAATTTTCTAGTTTAAAGAATAGGTTGGAAATTAACTATAAAATACATGTAATAAAAAAAAAGAAGCAAATCCAATAAAAAGCAATTTGAGTTTTTAAAACAGGAAAAGATAGTCTAGAAGAATGTTTTTTTTTTTTTTTTTTTTTTTCAAATTGTGACTAAATATAAATTATGAAAATTGTTAGTGCTCAAGCTGCATATAATATTGCAATGTTACTCTATGGTCATATTGCAAATAAACTCCTAACTTTTAGCTATACACTGTATTGCATATGTTTTATTAAAAAAGCCACAAAATGAAAAGTCGAACATGTACCAATCCAATCTTATACTAGATTTGGTTTTATGTAGGTTATAGTTTTTTATAAATAAAAAAATTGAAAACACCAACAAGTAAAGAAAAAAAAAACATAAAGAACTAAAATCTAGATTGAACAACCTACTTCAAAATGATATGATATGACTTAAGACTAAATAATTGGAGTAGAGTAACAAAATGATATATCAAATCAACTGAAGATATTTGATAAGATTCATTATTTGTGTGCCCTGCAAAAGTAAGATAGAGTAGTGTTCAAACACATGGGGGAAAAAAAGAAAAAGAAAAGTGAATGTTCCAATAAAAGACAAATCAGAGTTATATGAATAAACACTTAGTTGATGTTCTTATTCACTTAGAGGCTTATGTTTGCTCTTTGATGTGATAAGACTCAAAATAAAAGACCACACCAAACAAAGACAGCTCAATGTCTCCTTAAAGCCTTAAACCTAACACATGCATCTTTCTTCTTTCTTTCTTTGTTTTGATGAGGTTAAAATATGCTTTTTTGTTTATTTGTTTTTGGTTTATTTAGTAATTGTATTGTGCACATCAATCTTCTTAATATTTTGATATCTCTAACATTTACTTGCCTTAAAACAATAGTTGGCATATACTTATATATATATTTTTTTGATAATTTTTTATATGTATGATAGGGTTGATCTTAAGAAATTTCTAAGAGTTCGAAGGCAGTTAGAGCTGATAAATCCATTATTACTTGTGTTTTTTTTTTGTCAATATTTTGCCACAACTAGCCGGTCCATTAGCCTAATTCCTACAAATATGTAGGGAGTGAGACTCGACCCCTGGTGTGATAGTGCATGTCCATCGGTAAATTTATAATTTGCCACTAGACTAAGGTCACTTCACCATTATTACTTGTGTTTAAATAAGAGAATTATGCTTCCTCCAAATTAGTTGGAACTGTGTATTATTTGTAACATTTAACATTAAATTGCATGTATATTTGAAGTTAATGAAGAAATCGCATTTAGGTCACTCATTCACCTCCAATATTAGGACCCTCCAATGTGTGGTTGAGTGGTGCTTTGATATGATTAACACTCTCATCTTAAATACGACTTTTTAAAAAAGGCTTTCCATAGAAAATATAGAGCCTCTTCATGATTATGAATCTATCATCTAACGTTTGAAACAAATAAATTATGAACATGGACGGCGATAAGGTGAGAGAAATGAGTATTCATAAACTGTAGGCTCCTTGCAGCAAAAGGAAACAAAAAAAAAAAAAACTAAGTAATACAAACTTTGCAAAAAAACATACCTACAAAATGTGATAGGTGCAACAATCTTTATAATATATAGTGGTCTCAACTTAAACTTACTTGAATTTTGGGATTTCAAGTTCAGCTCTCTGTTCATTGTATCTGCATCAAAATCGTAGACAAGGAAATTGAGATCAAATTAATAATTGAAAATTCAATGTTATGTTTTCGTTTTTGCAAGTTTTATTCCATAGATTAGATATATACATGCAAAAAAAAAAATTGTCATCAAAAGGAACTACAATTAGTTCAAGTGAGCCATTGCATCGAACAATCGTTTACAAACTTAATTAGCTGCGGAATGGAACGAATATGTCGAGTATAAGAGATAAGGAAAATGTTGAGAATTCTTCCCTATCAATGCTGATATCCTCCAAGTAATAGTTTGATAATAATTTTATATTTTCCATATTAATTGAGAGTTTCTATAAATTTTATGAAAATACATTGTCATGAAATTATTCAAAGATCTACTTTTTCTGTTAAAAAAAATCTAAATAGACACCCAAAATTAAAACCAATACACATATAAAAATGCTATATATATCTACTATAATTAAAATGCTTTTGAAAAAGGTATTTTGCAGTCCATAGAAAGATATTTGATATCTAATTTTTCTTTTTTAAAAAAAAGAAAAAAAATCTAAGGCATATGGACCCATGATTTAGCCAATGTGCCTAATGATATCTAAGGTTCTATTAACATTGGCTATATTAGCAAATGGTCGGGCTATGAAGCAACAATGAAACTTTATGTAAAGAAGAATATGATTGAGTTCTCTCTATTGACCACCAATGTGGTTCATGAAAATATATATATATGTAATTAATCTCCTTAATTAGACTATTAGACTATGATTGAAGCCACTAACAAATTCCGGCGGCAGATCAAAAAAGTCATTCTAACAAATTGGAACCAATTCTTTAGTTTTAATTACGTTTCTAAAAAATTGGAATCATATGCCTAAAGATTTATGTATTTGTTAGTGGTCTTCCCTTTTGTATTTGTTATCATTGTTATGAATCTTTCGTTCTATATTGTCACGCCATAAGCTTTGTTCGTTATTTTTGTTTTCTTTATGAAAAAAATTATATAAACTGATTTGAATATACAGAACTTTAATTTCGATGTCTGAAAGATAGATGCATGCATATGCATTGCCTCTTCTTTAGTTTTTATTTTGGGCTGAACTCGCAGATGCATTCGAAAGTAACAATATTTGTAAGGTACGAGTAGTAAAAAAAAAGAAAAAAAAAAGGTACGAGTAGTTTAGATTTATGAGAATTAAACATTTATATTAGACTGTACTCAGATAATATATAGGCTTTGGTGTAAATCTCAAAAAATTTATATAACTCTTTATTAATTATTATCAATAACTGTAGGAGTAGGTGTTCGGGTACCCGTTTCGGTTTGGATCGAGTATTTCGGGTTTAAGTTTTCTTTTCTTCTTTTCTCAACCTAACTTTATTTTCTACTAGTTGTTGATCCGCGCTATGCGCGGGAGTTTTATAATTGTTTTTTTATATTTTAAAATTTATATTTTGATTTTTCTTTGTTTTTGTTTATTTTTTTTGTTTTTACTCTTGTTTTTGTATTAATTTAGTATATAAAATGTTTATTGTTATTTGTTTAACTTTGATTTATGTCAAATATTAGCTGTTAGAACCTTACATTTTAAAAGCCTTCAATTCTTGTAGGCCAAATTATTCTGGTGAATCCACTTATTTATTTATCCAAGTATTTTCATTTTACCTTTTAGTTTTTTT